TTAACAGGCCCTTAGGCACAAGCTTAGCTGTGCAGGATGCCTAGACTTTTGAAGACTCAAATGTTCTTTGTTCTTGCTTCATAGCAATGGTATTTTCACACTTTAATGTCCCTGGTCAGCTTATCTATGCTTGCTTTTGTCATGGCTGATCAAATCAACCTAGATTATGTAAACCTGCAGAGTTGGTCGTGTGATACAAGCTCAAGATGTGCTAGACAGCTTTAGAGCCATGTTTTTTCTAGAGATGTCAAACTTGTAATTAGAATTTGGTTACTAAGATGGTGATTAAAATTCAGTTGTTTTATGCATAATGTATGTAAAAGAGGAAGTGTCTGTTACGGAGTGGGAAAAGAGGTAGGTGGACTAAGAAAATTTTGCAATCAAAGCTGCAATTTAAGAGAGTCCATAATTAGTATGCTTTCCAAATTGGTCATACACACACTTCAGAAATCATGGTGAGGAACAAGAAATAGAAGCTCCTAGGAAACTGCTGTGTTGAAATTACTTGTGAATTTGTGGAGATAACACTTTCAGGTAGTTAAGCACTGCTGTGTCTAGAGTTTGTGCTGCTCGTTATGAATCCCATAACATTGTGGAGTGGATACGTTTTCTAATTAATCACTGTAGTCTGAGCAAGGAGTTTTACAGTGATGTGTATGTTTAAGTACTTAGGTTTTTTGAGGGCTGTTCATTTAGAAATGTCCCTCTTAGGATTTATTGTTGCAATGCCCACAGCGATGTGTTTGTGAGAGAGAAGCGGGAATAGTACTGAAAGTGCCGTTGCTGGCTCATATTGTGCTCCTTTTCTTTTTTGGATCTGATGAGGTCCCCCAAATCAGTCTGGGTCGATGTTCCCTGTAGATTGAGAGTTACAGTACTTGGGAATATTTAAGAAACAATCCTCACTCATGTACATAATTGAAGGGCTTAATGCAGGTGTGTAATTCCCCCAGGTCCTTCCATAGACTGAGATAAGAAATGCACAGAAGGCTTAAGTGGAGCCTAAAAGCTCTTTTTCTTTCCATTGACTGTCTGGGTACCACATGCAGGTTATACTTGTTTGGTGTCTGAAGTGAGGTGGAAAGGGTAGTGGCCATTGCAATTCTACAAAGGTGGAAGGACATGACAGCATGTAACAAGCTCCTGTATCACTCCTAACATCACTGTGAACGATGAGAATTATCTCCCTGTTTTGCAGGTGCAGAATGTGAGGTTTGGTTTGCTCAGAGCTGTGCGGGAAGTCTAGTATATCTAGGAAACTCATATATCTGTGTCATGCAGTTAAACTGCAAAATGATCCTTCAACCTGGTTGTAAATGTGTAAGAAGGAGCGAAGGAAGAACATTGTGAGAAAGTATCAGTATTTCACATCCTGCCTTTAATAGATGGAGAAAATAAAACATGGATTATTGGGCTACATTACCATGTTCTGCTGAATTGCTGCTGTTGAACTTGGAAAAATATGAATATCAAATAGTCGTCATTTTTGGAGATGGAGTGCTAGATCCTCCACAAATTAAATTCTAATAGTTCAAGCAAAGATGGGATCTGAGGCCTGCTTTAAAATAAGCATTTAGTGAAACTCAGGGTCCCCTGGCTTTCCTGGGGCTTAGATTTCAGTTTATCTCTAAAGCAGTTGCGGTATTGCAGTAATTAAATCAGCTGCGCTCCTTAATGGTCTTTAATTTAAATAATGCTTACACATAGGATATAGCTTTCTTCATTAAAAAGAGAAGCTGCATTTATTGACAGCTGAAATGATAAAGTACTATAATGTTGCAGAATAGAAAAATTACATAACAATGATTTCCTTTATTTCAAGTTACTGTATAATGAATATTATTTAGAAGTCTAAAAATAAGAGAAATATTTTTATATAAATAAAAAATAAGGCATTCAACTCAGCTAATGGAGTTTATTTTGCTTTCTAATCACATAAATCACTGTAGGTATTATCCCAAAGTATAATGTCAGATTGTATTAAACCGTAATGTTCATAGCAAGAATTGTTAGAATATTTAGTATTTCACTAATTTCTTTGTGAAATTTACTTACCACATTTAATTATTGCAATCATACATTCCATTCCATGTCAGAGCTTGAAAATTCATTATCAAGTCTTATCATATAGAATCCATAATTTTATATGTGTAAATTTTTTGTTTGTCAGTTATTAGAAGCATTTGAATGAATATAAATTAACACAACAATTTAGGTAAAAGACCTATGCCTACAGCAGATGTTTAATTTGGCAACATTATAATTAAACAGCATCACAGGTATTCTACTTGCATTATATCGGTTTGTGGCTTTGACCTGATGGATACCATACCCCTTTTTTTTCTCTCTGTCCCAAGTTGGTGCGTT